TTGTTAAATGTGAAAATAACGTATTGCGTCCCTATTGCTAAGTTTGAATAAACTAAGGATTTAATACAAATTGTACTTACCTTAAATAATTATTTCGTAGAAATGCATATAAATGTTTACTTTCTCTTCACAAACAAACTTTTATAGACGGTTGGAAAACAAAAGATTTTACCTTATTAACAATTATTTTGTACACATGTATACAATTGTTTACTTTCTCTTCATAAACTAACTTTTATAGACGCTTGGCCAACATGCTGCCATAAAAAAAACCCTTTAAAAATCTATTTTATCCATTGAGACCCATGGTAAACAAACCTCCATTGATGGGTGGTACCACAAGATCAATGCAATATAACAGTACAGTATCATTGTTAATATTATAACCAAATTGTTTATTATTATTTATTAATGTGTCATAAAGTACCTTTGTTTAATTTAATTTACATGCACCACCTCTTGCGGATTTTAGGGATGGTCTAAAAAATAATTTTTACAGGTTCTGTTGGACTACACGTTCAGATCAAATCAAATTATTTATTAATGTAAAACATAAAAAACAAGTATGGTATCGTCATATTTTACAATAAATATCTATTTACATAACTGGACACCTTAAATAAGTGATAAATTCGTCAACATCACACACTTAATTCTAAAAAATCCTTAATTACAGGTTCTGTTGTACTACGCGTTATCTACGGTGCCACCAGAGTACATTAAACAATTTGCCTTCTACTTTAACATTGCTAAATTTCAATTGGTATTTCAAAAATAGTAGCACATATTCAGCCACTAATAGATATCTGACTGGTTTTAAACACTAAATACAATAATACGCACGGAGCTCACGTAAGCACAATAAAGTTTTTATTGCCATCTTAGAGACATATGTCATCTAAACTCAAAGGAAGTAAATAATGAGTTTTGCAATGTGATTAACATCCGAGAAAATATCTTTTTAGACGTTTAAATAATTAATTTAAACAAATAAAAAAGGGAGATATATATACGGAAATAAGAGTTTTAGGCGGCCATTTTGGGTGCCATCTTGGAATATATGCCCCTAAAACTTAATGTAAGTAAATTTTGGGTGTTGCAATGTGTTTGGCATCCGAGAAAACCCCTATGCAGACGTCTAAATAATTATTTTCAGCCAAAAAACAAGGGAGATATGCGGAAATTATAGTTTTTGGTGGCCATCTTGGGCGCCATTTTGGAAGATATGCCCTCAAAACTTAATTTAAGTCAATTTTGAGTGTTGTTATGTGTTTGGCATCTGAAAAACCCCTATATACACGTTTAAACCATTATTTTAGGCCAACTAACAAGGGAGATATGGGGCAAAAAGAGTTTTGGCCGCCATCTTGGATACCGCACTTCCGGTTCAAATTTCGCGTTGGCAACAGGCAGATTCGTACTCAGCAGGGTCGAAATACCCTAAAAACGTTGTTTCCCTAATTGTTACATGAAATGCTTCTTGCATTGTCTTTTTTTGAAAACGGGCCTAGTCTAGTGATGCTGCTCAATTGCTAACAAATTTCCAAATAACAGGAGAAAATTTCATGCCAGCTTGGGAAAAACTTGTGACTAGATATGAAAACAAACGTGTTTTAATCAAAAGGCATTTGGATGATATATTTAATTTAAAACCTCTAGAAAATAAATCTGCTAGTGGTCTCAATCACCTCATGTCTACTATCAATGAGTCTTTAGGTTCCCTCAAAGCGATAGGATCTCCTACAGATAAATGGGATCACATCTTGGTGTACATGATTGTACAACGACTAGACCCAGAGACACACGAAGCATGGGAGATTCGTTACGGAGTCTCAACAGAACCCTCCACCCTAGAAGATCTATTCGAGCCCTGGAAAGTATTGAGTCACGAGCAACACCACTAAGCGATGTAACGGTAACTACACTACAATGTAAAGGTAAACCTCATCAAAATCTTAAAGTACATTCAGCACAAATTGTAGCAAAATCTCAGTCCAATATAGGAAATGATTGTCAACTGTGTAGTAAAGATCACTATTTAGCATTTTGCAAGGAGTTTCGTGAAAAAGTACCTAGTCAACGAAAAGAGGTTCTTGTGAACAAAAGATTATGTTTCAACTGTCTTGGTTCACATTTGTTAAAGGACTGTCGCTCAAATAAATCTTGTTTACAATGTAAGAAAAGACATCACACTCTAATTCATGACGCTGTTAGCCAGACTACAAATATACCTCATATAAAAAAGTCAAGTTCTCTCATCCCTAACAAATTCATCTCATCTACAGATAACACATCATCAAGCTCACACGTCTCCTCTAATCACATGCTTCCATTTAAGGAAATTAATCGACAATCTGTGCTCCTAGCAACCGCTCAAGTTAAGGTAATTGGTCCTGAGGGAAATAGTGTTATTGCCAGAGCTTTAATCGACCAAGGATCTGAAATCTCTTTCATCAGTGAATACTTAGTACAAACTCTCAATCTGAAGCGTTCATACTCCTCAGTATCTCTTGTTGGTATCGGTGGACATCAAGCCCCAACCACTCGTGGTATAGTTTCAATCAATCTTAGTTCTCTGTATGATACCAAAGTTAGCTGCTCTTTATCTTGTCACATCCTTTCAAATCTCACATCAAATTTGCCATCGATAACACCAAATCATTCATCGTGGAATCATATAAAGGGACTTCAACTAGCTGATCCTGCCTTCACGAAGTCTGAATCTGTAGATTTAGTCCTAGGAGCAGACATCTACACGTCTATTATCCTTCCTGGTCTAATTAAAGGTCCACCCCTCTCCCCAGTAGCACAAGCAACAATTTTCGGTTGGATCTTGTCTGGACCTACTGGAATGACGGAAAATAAATCTACCTCATCAATGTTTCATTGCTTGATTGAAAACAAACTTGATGATTTTCTTCAAAAATTTTGGGTACAGGAAGAAATTCCTCAAATTAAAGAATCAGTCAAGTCTCCTGATGATCAAGTATGTGAGGAACATTATCAATCAACCTTTTCTAGAGAACCTTCCGGTCGCTATCAAGTCCGACTTCCCCTGAAGGAAACAGTCAATCAGCTTGGAGAATCTCAATCGTCAGCCTTTCAAATTTTAACAAAGCTAAATACTCGTCTCTCAAACGATCTTGAGTACAAAAACTTGTATACTAATTTCATAGAAGAATACAAGGACCTTGGTCACATGTCTGAAACTATTGAAGAAATAGATTCTACCATTCCCATATATTACCTACCTCATCATGGTGTTTTGCGTCCTTCTAGCACGACGACTAAATTAAGAGTAGTTTTCAATGCCTCATTCCCAACTAGTTCAGGATTATCTTTGAATGACGTACTCTACAGTGGTCCAAAACTCCAAACAGAACTACCTGATATTCTCACTTGGTTTAGGCGCTATAAATTCGTATTTGCCACTGATATCGAGAAAATGTATCGCCAGATTCTAGTACATCCTAGTGATCGAGATCTTCAAAGAATTCTCTGGATGGAAAATGGTCATCTTAGAAAATTTCAACTACAGACTGTTACATATGGGTTATCATGCGCTCCTTTTTCTCGCCCTAAGAACAATGAATCAGCTTATCGTCGATCACGGTGATGCATATCCCCAAGCTAGTGAAATGTTGACAAGAGGGAGATATATGGATGACATTTTTGGTGGTGCAGACTCGATTGAAGAGTGCAGAGAAGTAGTAAAACAGACTGACGAGCTTTGCAAATTAGGTTGTTTTCCTTTACAGAAGTGGATCAGCAATGATCAAAATGTACTATCATACATATCGGAAAGTAATTGCGAAAAAGGCAATTCCTTATTGATAAACAAATCCTCCAGTATACGTACTCTTGGACTTACATGGAATCGATTCAGCGACGATTTTCAGTTTCTTCCTACTCTAAGTCCAAAAGACAAATGCACGAAAAGAAACGTTCTTTCTCAAATAGGTCAGTTATTCGATCCCTTGGGTTTTGTCTCTCCTATTATCATAAGGTTCAAACACTTCATGCAACAACTTTGGCTAGTAAAAATTCATTGGGACCAACTTTTACCTAATCACTTGCAAGACCAATGGAAACTCCTTGAAGCTGACCTACAATATTTGCCATTAGTTAAAGTACCTCGTTATCTTGTTCTTACCCAACTATCTTCGGTAGAAATTCATGGATTTTCAGATGCTTCTAAGCTTGCAATGAGTGCTGTAGTCTACCTAAGAATCGTTAATCGTGAAAATATCACTGTTAGTTTAGTTATTTCTAAAACTAAAGTAGCTCCTCTCAAGACAATGTCGATTCCTCGACTGGAACTCACTGCTGCTACACTACTAGTAAAACTTGTAAAGTATGTTCGGAAAATGCTCAACTTAGAATCTACCCAAGCATGGTTATGGACTGACTCTATGGTTTCCCTAACCTGGATCACAAATCAACCTTCAAAATGGAAAGACTTTGTGCGTAACAGAGTAAGTGTTATACAAGAGACAGAACCGCTCGCTAAGTGGAGGTATGTAGCAGGAAATGAAAATCCAGCCGACTGTGCTTCACGAGGTGTTACTGCTAAAATCCTTAGCAACCATAAGCTTTGGTGGACGGGTCCTCCGTGGCTGAATAAAGATGTTTATGAATGGCCATCCACGACGTTTGATCCAGCTCAAGCAGCGAAATCTGAACTGCGAATCCCTCAATCAACTTGCCACATTTTAAACTTTGAACCAGAACCAGAAATGCTAGAGCGCTTCTCAACACTGTCAAAACTATTACGTGTTACTGCCTGGTGTCAAAAGTTCATTGCCAAAGCAAAAAAATCCATCCCTACTAATTGTCAATCTTTTTTAACTCCTCAAGATCTCAACTCATCCCTTTTGTTGTGGGTAAAACTCATTCAAAAACATGCCTTCAAAAATGAGCTTGCGCGGTTACAAAACAACAGACCTTTAGAAAAATCTAATCTTATAAGTCTTAACCCCTTTGTCGATAACACTGGTTTAATGAGAGTTGGAGGCAGACTTGAACAATCTTCATTAGAATATGATTCAAAGCATCCTTATATCCTTCCGAAGAATTCTAAGTTCTCAAAACTAGTGATAGATGATGCTCATCTCAGGACTCTGCATAGTGGCACCCGTTGTACACTTGCAACCGTTCGTCAGAAGTTCTGGGTTGTTGGAGGTAGACCTATCGTCAAACGAGAACTGTTAAAGTGTGTTACTTGTGCTCGTTATCGCTCTCAAAGAGCTCAACAATTAATGGGGCAGCTTCCTCCTACAAGAACATCACCATCACGTCCCTTTTTGCACTCTGGTGTAGATTACGCAGGCCCTTTTGTAATCAAAACATGGCATGGAAAGAGAGCAAAAACCTACAAAGGTTATATTGCGGTGTTCATCTGCTCGGCGACCTCAGCTATTCATCTAGAGTTGGTTTCCAACTACTCAGCAGAAGCCTTCATAGCGGCTTACAAACGATTCACCAGCCGTCGAGGCATCTGTGCTACTTTAACGAGTGACTGCGGGACAACATTTGTAGGAGCTGACAAAGAACTGAAAAGATTGTTTTCCTCGTCTTCAGCAGAATCAGGTCAACTCAAATCCCTGCTTGCTAATGATGGAACTGAATGGAAATTCAACCCTCCTGCTGCTCCACATTTTGGAGGTCATTGGGAAGCTGGTGTTAAATCAGTTAAATACCATCTCAAAAGAGTTATGAAGACCCACCTACTAACTTACGAAGAATTTTCGACAGTGCTGGTACAAATAGCTGGTGTTAAATCAGTTAAATACCATCTCAAAAGAGTTATGAAGACCCACCTACTAACTTACGAAGAATTTTCGACAGTGCTGGTACAAATAGAAGCTGTACTCAATTCTCGCCCTCTCTGCCAGCTTACAGAAGATCCAGACGATCTAGCAATCCTAACCCCTGCGCACTTTTTAGTTGGCGAATCTTTAACTACTATCCCAGAACCTAATCAAGAAAACCAACCCACATCAAGACTTACTCGGTGGAAATTAACTCGCCAAATGTTGGAATCATTTTGGAAGAAGTGGTCTCGGGAGTACCTTCAACAACTTCAAGCAATATACAAATGGAGATTTCCTTCCTGTTCAATAAAACTCGGATCAGTTGTTCTTGTTGTTGATGAGCAATTACCACCATCAAAGTGGCCGCTAGCAAGAGTGACTGAACTTCATCCAGGTCGTGATGGACTTACCCGAGTAGCCACTCTGAGAACATCAAGTACCTCATTGAAAATACCAATAGTCAAGCTTTGTCCTCTTCCAATTGAAGTCAGTGATTAATATTTATTGCTCCTTCGGTGCAATGGGGGGGAGAATGTTTAAAGTTATTTTTTCTAATTCACTGTTTCTAACAGCTGGTCTTATTTTATATCATGTTTACTTTTTGTTCAGTTTAAAGAAATACAGTCCACTAAAAACATCATCTAGTTTTTCTCTCTTAATTATCTATCTACATCTATCGTTCAATCTAAGTTTATCCATCAGTATCTAAATTCTTTAATCAAGCCAGTTATTGATAAGAGAGCAGAAGTTATTGGATAAGAAGATTCACTGCTATACCAACCTAGTTATAAGAAGCCATGTTATTGCTATGATAAGAAAACTCACTGCTATACCAACCTAACAAAATCAGTGACACGCTTTTGGCAGACTTCTGCCATATCAGTGCTACCTCCAGTTATAATTTTAGCTCAGTGCTTTATCGTGACGATACAACAGAGCGTTTTCTGTACATCGGTAAACAACTGAATCAGAACCGAGAAAAAAAACATCAATAAAGGTAAACAAATTTGATACGACATTACCACAGTCACAAACGTGTTTGCACAATTGGATCTTGAATCAAATTGGTTGATATTAAGTTAATTGATTCCTATGTCAGTGTAATATTTACACTGTAAACGAGGATTTTGTAGTCACAGTATAAATGTTTTGTAATTGCGATAGATAAGTTGAAGTACTCTGAAAATATTTTGAAACTACAATTTGCAGTAAGGAACCATTCGACTGGGACGGGTGGCGTCGTCCTGTAATCCAGCTACTAGGAGGTCACGAATTGTGGATATTTATAGGCATGCACTGTGGATGCGATACTCCCTGGTGTGGATTAACGTCCACACGGGTGAGTACTACGACTATCCGCAGTACTATCCTGATAATTAGACCAATTCGTATATACCAAGGAAAAAAAGTGGTTCGGATTCCACTATAAACTGTAGGTCCCTTAGTCGCCATTAGCTGTATGGGCTATTAATAGCTGTGTATAGTGTTTAGCTGTGTCTAAGGAATATGTCGGCCTTAGTCACTAACAAGACTACAAGATCGCGCCACTCATCATACACTCATCTCCATTCATACTTGGCTTAAAATACCTACTTTGTATGGTCACCATTTCAAAGAAAATTATAAAGTATAAAGTATTCAGCGAAAACCGGATGGTCATTTGAAGGGGTTTCAGGACCTCTAATGAAGTATGAAGCTTAAATTGTATTTCGAACTGAATGGAGTACCTCATCTGTAATGGCTATCTGTTCCTCAACCATATATCCATTAGCTGTTCTTCCGTAGGCCTTTTCCTCTTGGATGTTGTAGAGGTGTGTTGTGATTTGTTCTTCTAACTGACTAAGGCTGATAAGCTTTGCAGTTTTTATCGTCCTTGCAAAAGCTACGACTGGTTGCTGCAGCGTGAGGTTGTATGCCTGTTCGAGCGTGTTTTGTCTAAGAACCCATTTTTCTACTTCACCAATTCCGCATTTTAATGTGTCACGTAGTTACGGTATTTTAGCAGAAGAGTAGAATATGGAGACGATTTCAAAATGCCATGTAAATTGTGTTGTCATCTGCTGCCTGGCACACACCTCATTACCTTCCCAGTAGCAGCAAACCGATTTACTGATTAGAATCATTGTTGTTTAAAAAAAGGAAATAAATCTGACAATTTTAAGGGAATATTTTTGTGGAAATCTAGCCAGACAAATGGAAATTCGCTTAGTATGCAGGTTTTCTGCAGCGTGGGTATTTTGTGTCCTTTGTAAACTGGTTGTTATCTCCCTTTTTCTACAGTATTACTTTTACTATAGACACTTAATTCAAAGTCCTGACCTAGAGTCTTTCCATGAACAAACTAACCTTATACACCTATCCTCCCCTTACTGTGCGTTACTAGCCATCTTTCCACAATAAAATTATTGACGACGATCGTTTGCTTGGCTTCAAAAGCCCCACCTTCCAATCTTTATCAATTTTCAGTTAGGCTTTGCAATATGTTTATTAGATACTAGTGGCTTGTATGGACATCGGTCTCTAAAAAGCTCAAATGTAAAACAAATTATTGTAATATATAAACTCGGAAGCAAATAATATTAGGATAGATATCCCAGAACAACATATCTTTTGTGTGAAAAACAGTTTGTTGATTGTCTTTGTTTGCTTTTTTTATGTTATTTTCAATAAATAATTTGAACGAATCCAGAGGCTTAACCATAGATAAAACATAGTGGTTTAACCCTGCTCAAGGCAGCAAACATGTTTGTGAATAAATATTGGTTTATTAAGTTAGATTCGTCTTTTAGTTAATGATGAAAATGCAATATTGGAAATTGTCTTTGTCAAAATATGAAAAGGCAACTATTTACCACTGCATAGAGCTAATAAAATCCATTATTTGTTTAATTTTATCAAATCCATAGCAACGAATTTACTTCACTTCTTAAAGTTTGAAGTAAACTTGTGAGTTAATTTTGTTAGCTCCACTGCTAATTTAAAAATAAAACCACATAATCGTGAAACAAGTTAGTGCACAACAAAGCTGCATATAACAAGCCTGCTTTCGAGCCTTATAAGGGAAGAAAAGAAAAGAAGGACTGCAGACGACTTATATCTTGCAGAAGACTTTTCACACTCTAGGACCTAAATGGAGAGAATCATAAACTTCATTTTGTGAGTATAACAGCCAGCAATTGTATGATTGTATGGTATTATTTAGATGTGGTACAATTCATATGTGGTTTTCATATAATTTAACAATGTTTAGGAAAGGGATAAAGGCAAACTAGGTTCACTTCATCACTTCACTAAAGAATGTTAGAAAAACAATCTGATAACTTGAATTATGTGTCTATATGTTGAAATTATCTTCTCTAATGATAAACGTAGCATTAACAGCAAGCAAACATTGAACGTTTTGTTTTATTTCATGAGTTAATCTAAAAGAAATGTTTCTAATTAAGAATGGTAACTCAGTTATATCCACCACTTTGATATCGAGAAAATGTACTGCTTCAAACTACATTTTCTCAATGGAAATCATAATGGGTGTTACTTTTTAAAGTTGATCCTTGAGCATTTTTTCTTTACTATTTACAGTATTTGAAAACATTGACTAACTTTAAAATATGATTATTATAAAAAATATGAATAGATCCTAATGAATTGTTTATTGCAGCACACCTGGTTGTGCATAAATGAGCCTGACAATGACCATGGACTAATAGCTCGTTCAAGGGCCATTAATTATATTTAGCTGAAATGATTATAATTTTACATTATTCTATATGTTATTTTGGTTATCATGAAAAAGTAGAGATTATATGATTGACGGGGTCTTGGAGGTTGGAATGTTATGTTGTATCTTGCCAATTATCTCATGGGTAGAATAATATACTATAATTGTTTGGTAAAACTCAATTTTTATTAATGAGAGACTTTCTATTCGGTCGTAATATTAACAATAACACAATAATCTTTTTCCAGCGACCATCCATTTGTCACGGGGGCTGCTGTGGTAGGCGCTGTCACTGGCCTGTGGTATGTCATCTGGGGGAGACGCCCCCCTCCCCCACCAGTTGAACCACCTGTCCAAGAGGACAATATTGACCGACGTAAGTACAATGGTGTAAAAAGTATGTTTGGTAAACCTTATGTACAAGGTTTACTTATTTACTTTATTTAGATATCTAAACATCCATGAACCGTTGATAACTTATATAAAATGAGAGTTTAAAATTTTGCTCAAGTAGTAGTCAAGGGTACCTTAGTTACTTAACTTATATTTTAAATTGTTTTGATTAAATATTAAGATAGAAAAGTTTAGCAAATTAACAAAGATGATGCCGGATTGTTGTTGGTTTGCGGTCAACTAAACATTCTAGATCCCAATGATTGATTATCCTAAGTAAAGCAAGGAGCATCCCTTAACGTAATTTTTTTCAATCCGAAACGTATCTTGGTCAAAATGCTAGACCCTCCATACTTCATGCATGTTGTGTAGTTATTCAGGTGACTTTAAAAGATTTTAATCTGATTTTTTAATAAAAGTATTAGACGGAATTGTTGTTTATGGTACAGATCCAACAAAGAACAAATTTACCTTATTGGTATGAAAGTGACTAATGTTACAAATTGAAGGATAGTTAAGAACAATGAATACTCAAATACATTGTTAATCCGAAACAATTACACAAATTTATACACATGATTACTCAAGTTACAAACACAAAGAAATTAAAATTTTAAAATTATCATAAACAAAGAATTGCATTTATTTAACTATTTTTTTTTTTTAACGATATATTTCTGTTTTTCAGAGGCAGATCTTCGATTTAGAATTCCCCCCCTCAGAAGAGTTAGAATAGTTAAATAAATGGAAATCGTGTTTGAGCAAACATCGTATTTGTGTGAAAATATTTGGATTAGGCCTATTTATGTTCTACAAAAATTTATGTTTAATAAAGGTTTCTTTAAAAACATTATCTTTAATTACAAATTACTATGAAAGAGTTTCACCAGTTATTGAGATTTTCTCTCTTTGCTTTGTCAAATCAAAGGTTTTGTTGTCTGATGTTTTGACAGCAAGGGTTCATCAGTTTTTACCGCATTGGGGGGCTTACACAGTATAACCCCACAACAGCAAACTTGCAGACTAAGCAATTTTCTTTCAAATTCATAGTCTACGCCTGTGGCATTTAAAAAAATCTGTCAATTTGGCGTATAGTAGTACACAGCTAGCATTTTATCCATTTAAACTTACTTTAACTTTTACTTAAACCTACGACAGCAGCTAATTGGAACCAAACAGTAACAAAAGCTATGAGAACGCAACCCTTTTCTATTGTTTAAGTGCAGTGGTAGAACATTATGGTTATGTTAGATGTGCTATAGAATAGCATACCGTAAATTATAGTAAACCACATTATCTTAAAACGTATCCTCTGCCATTTGCAAACACAAAGCACGAGTATAACTGAAATTAGCATTTTATACTTATACGACAACCCCGTATGAAGGACGGGTACTCTTCTAGTTATACAATAAACATGAATGAGTTCGTAAACGAGCAAGATCGGGTAATATTAACAGAGTGTTATGAGGCTATAATCCAATATATAATAGTCCATAATATATTCCATACAATAAAAAAATCGCTTAGGTCCAAAGTTTGCTGTGGTAGGCAGGGGTATTTTAACTATTCTGATTTATGCCGTGTTAACTAAACTTTTAATCTTGAATTAGGTGATTACTATATGTGTTTGTACCAGGCCCTAAAATAATCATTGTATAGGAAATTTTTATTTAATAAAAAAAACTCGAATGAAAATTTTCAATGAAATATGTAATAATTATAGGACTAAAAGAGAAACTAAAGAGGACGCTACAATCAAAAAAATATATTTTCATGTCCAACACTTATAACAGTTTAAGTGAATTCACAATTCATTTTGTATGATAATATTTGTTTATTTCTAAGAGAAAAATTTACTTTTCTTACATTTATATGAACTAAGATGTAACAATTTTTTAAAGGGACAGTAGTGTAAAATTCATTATCCAATTATGAATCTACAAACTTGAAATTGAAAAAAAAACCGGATAATTTATCACTCATATTTACAGATTAAAATAAACAAAACCGTATTATATAATAAACGTCTTGAATACATATTTTTTACCTTCAGGTTTAAAGTAAACAATTCTGGGGGGCGTGATTTATAAAAAAAAAACATTTTGCTGTACTTCCTACCAGGAAGGTTAAAAAAAAAAAAAAATACTTTAGATACCGTACGCCGTACGCACATTTGATATGTAGGAAGATATCTATTCTGAGTCAAAGTAGTGGTGTTATGGATGCAACTATAAATGTATATTTTCATTATTGTTGATTTTTTTAACGGTCAAAAGCAAAATTCCATGATAAATGAACACGACTTTCAACTCAAACTATAAGCAGCTTGGGGCAACCACAACTGTCCACCGCACATATAAAGCTGGGTTTGGAATGTTTAAAGTAAAGCTTCCAGTTACAAACGATATTAGCTGTAATGAGACATTTTGACCTAAATAAAACGTAGGGCCAATACAATATGCCCAAATATTACTGCTGAGCACTATATAAATATAATGTTAGTCCAGACAAAATCTTTATTAGGTGTGTGTGTCGAAGTCATTTTAGGGTGGGCATTAATTGCGCCAACTGACATGAGTCAGGTAGTCAGGTATTCCTGAATTGCGCCAACTACTCCACAGAGCCACCCGTTAAGTTCATTAACGGAGTCGCAAGTGGTGGCCCTCTTTGATCGTATAATTGGTTAGGTTAAGTTAGGTTAGGTTAGGATAGGTTAGGATGACACGTAAACAAGGTTATTCTTTCTGCCGGCAACTAACCCCTACATGGCTTGGGCTTGGCGCAACTAAGGAACATGTTTTGGGACCCAGAGGGCTTGACGCAATTAAGGAACTCTTTGGCGCAATAAATGTACGACCCATTTTAACACATAACTTCTCAACCGCCTTCTAAATACTCAATACTGCTAGGCACAGAATGGTAAGGACATAAACGAATACGTATTAATAATGCTTTAAGGGTTTAATGCTTAATTCAAATAATAAAATCAACTGCAAAGCAAGTTTCGAAAGGGTTCGAAGCTCGAAGCTTTATAGTTTAAGGTAACGTGTATGGTTTGAAACTTTAGTTTTGAAGCGTTTCAATGTAGCGAGAAATAGCTGGAGGGAACAATGCAGAATGGTAGATCAAAGGTTGTTTGTACTCAAACTGTAACAATATTGAACAACTGTAACAACCTTCCTCGCAAGCGTTCATGCTGCCTGGAACAGATTTCCTCACGTCTAGCGTTTATAGGGGTGTAGACTGGCTTTGACTAGGTCGAATAAGGTTATATTACCTTACCTTCTTGAATATTGAATCCCAGACTTCCAGCTTAATATACATTGACACAAAACCTTTCATAAATTGGCCTACATACACACACGGACAAACATATATTGGTACTATTTTAGTGAATTTCCCATAGGAAATAAGGTATTACCGTAGGTCTCTTGGTAAGACCTGAACCCGGGACCGATTTCCTTTTTCGTTTTGTTATCTCCAGAGGCCAGGATGGTTGACACCGTCCGTTCTAGTTCATATATATATATATGTGTGTGTGTGTGTGTGTGTGTGTCCGTTACCACGATACCTCCAGTAAAAATCATCGGATTTTAATGAAATTTTGTACAAATACGTCTATTCGAACGAGTTCGTGAACCATCATTATAGGATAATGGGAACGGGGTATCATGGGGAAAATTGGGGTTTTTTTCATTTTTGACCCTGAAACATAAAATTTCCTAATTTCTCTCTGAACCATTTTAATGAATTAAAAAATGAGTGTAGCAAGTATACATATTTTTCCGAAACGTTATATTAAATTTACGTTGATAATTGTAGACCTTTTTTCTCATTTAACCTATTAAATTATTTTATACACCATTTTTCAACGAGTTCTATAGAAACACTTCTTTCATCCAAAATACCTTGCATATAAAGATAAAATATTTCTTTAAATTACTAAAAAGAGACCTTCAGCTTCTAAACTATACAATTATGTTCGCGATCTTTCACAAGCCAACGATCCACACCACTATCATGAAACTAGCAGCTTAATGCAATGACAATCTGTGGGTTTAAAAAATGAATACAAATAAAAATAACCCCATATTAAACACCTCTCCAGCCCAATCGTCCCTGTACAAAAGAAAGAAATTAAAACCTTTGATTTTGTATGTATTTGAATCTGGATACACCTCAGTATGCAGAAGTCAATGTTAAATAAATAAATAGTGTTTGTGGAAGACGATTTTTGTAAACAAAGATGTGAAATGCAAGTCACGAAGCGAATAAATAGTAGTGTAAGACCAAGGGTTAAGAAGAAAAGTTCAACTGTTTTCCGTGCATAGAAAAAATATGTTTTCTTCAGTTGACTACGTGGTCTTGCACACATGTATGTTGACTACTTTATGATTTTTTTAAGTTATTGAAGCCAAACCACAGAAAACATACTACTATAACCTTTATATTTAAATATATTAAATTAAATATATTAAACCTTATTATTTAAACCTTTAAGGTATGTTTTCTGTGGCCAAACGCACTCTGTAAGCTAATGTGTTAACGATTTGGTATGTAGTATGTTTTGCTACAAATATACAAAGTCATTTTTGTCCATCCAGGAACGAAAATAATACTATCAAATCAAGACTATTTGAATCGAATGAAATGAGCTAATAAACACAAGTGAGATGCATATCATATGCTATGTAATGTAATTTATGAGTTATAAAATAAAAACTTGAATAAAGTAGTGAATCAACACAGTCATACACAGAACTATAAGCGGCTTAATAAAACCACAGCTGTCAACCACACTTCCAAATCTGTTTTAGAGTGTTTAAATTGAAGCTCCAGTTGACTATAGCTGCAAATCAGCTTAAGGTAATATTTAAAGTTGTATTTATCTTTCCACCATATAATAAGTAAATGCCTTAGATGCAAAGACATTTTTTTTAAATAAAGGCGATTTGTCAATAATATAATTAATTTTTAAATGAACAGTTGAAACATTTTGTTTGGTTTCAGAAAAATGTACATTATATTTGTTATATGTTTTGAAATATTGTATTCATGGCGTTTAACGCAAAAATGACAAACGTATATAGACGCTAAGAAGTATTCAACTTATTTTATTCAAGCGAAAAAGAACCATCTAAATGATGACTACAAATGAAGAAAATAAAATTTTATTGATAATTTTCGTACTAATTTTCTATATTAAAATAATTTGTTATAGGACTCAAATTGTAAAAATTAACATTTTATAACGGATATATTGTGAGTCAATGTATGGGATTTTTAAGGTACATCAGTTTCTTCAGTTTGTAAAGAAATTACAAAAATGTAGGCATAATCTATTTTTAACCGTGATTCAATTAGTGTTAGGTATATAATCAGGCAATAGTATAGTAGTAGTAGACTATGTATTTAAATGTTTTTTAAAAGTAATTAAAATACATTATTTAAGTAAGTTCTGAAATAAACAACCGCACGATTAAAAGCTTTGGTATTCTATATTCATTTACTATACAATTTAACATATCAAAAAATATAATTCAGATACACCATAAATTAGAAATAATGTTGGCCACTGCCCAAATGTACAAAGGGCAATTTACACATTATTAGAAAATCCTTTACTTAACACTATGTGAAAAATTCATAAAGTTTTTTGATCAAAAACTCATGTAAGCCTAAACTAAATTTTTTCTCATTTTTTGATAAAAACTGATATGTTATTAAGACACCAAGATTTTATGTCAAAACGTGTCTTAAACAATTTTACAAGTTACCGCCATTTATTGTAAAATC